TCGCCATTCACTATCGCCTGGACGAACATATTCGTCCGAAAAGTCGCGATGCTCTATTCTTTTTTTGTGGGGATCTTTCTTAGGTTCATCCAAAATGTGTGTCTCTGTATCCCTGTGCCTTTTTTTACTTTGCCAGTAACCGCTGACAATTCGAGGGAAGTGAGTTAATCAACTGACCTCCTCATCATATACACGACCGTTGCAAGCGAAGAAAAGCACTACTTTCCATAAGATCAAAATAATGAGGCCAACTGTACGCCAACCCACCAACACCAATTTCGGCCATGACTTTGCATGAGTTAGCTCACCTACCATACGTGCTGTGGTCTCTTTTGTGTGCGTCTTTGTCATGCTCTGCTTCTTGTTGCCGCCGCCCTCTTTCTTTTAGGTCTACTATAGGGCCTGCCAGTCCCAAAATTGGTTCATTTTACGCTACCTGGCTGGCCTGCTGGAGAAAATTGCCGACCAGCTGGCCAACGCTGTGTCCACTATTTTACTGCTGCAGAAGCAGATCACGGTGGGTCTACCGCCAAAACCCCGAGAAAAAGTCATTGTTGCTCCCCTTCCGGCCCCCGAAATCGCCAGACTCATCCAGGAGGCCTGCGGCGAGGACAGTCTCATGGCAATGCTGACCCAGGTAAGCTCTAGTCCCTTATTGCTACCTGCTTTTCTGTTTCTCTTTTCTCATTAGTTCGATGCGAATACCGGTTATACAAGCCGGTGGTTGATGTATGCGTTACTCAGCTGACTCACTGAGGTCCATGCGGCTAGGTAATAGTATCGTCGTTAAATAATATTTACTGAAAATTGCCGCAAATTGACCTTGTTTCTAGCATCTAGCCCGCATTTTATCAAGATTGTCACCATCAATTAGTGGTTGTCTCATACATGTTCGATTTCACTCCAAGTACTTTGGAACTAATGCTGAATCGTACAGTCATCGTGAAATCATTTAGCGGTGGATAAAACAGGCATTTCCGGCGTCTTCTAAATTGTTCGTCTTGTGGATCTGCTATATGGGAAACCGTTGACAGCTGTCGTGGCGCTTTGTGTCCTCAATGAATCTTGTCAGGCAGGCCCGAGCTCCACGTCTCGGGTTTGCTAACGTAGAGAAGACCGATACTTAAGAGACTTCGTGAAATATTTATTACGATGCTTTTGAGAGCGTTCGTCCTTTTCATTGAAAACCTGGCACCTTTCGTTTCACATAGTATCCTGTTCACGGACTCAGAGTTTGACTTCGCAGACTTGTTCTCTTGTGTTGATACAAGCGAAAAAGGCGAATTCCTGGGCAATGGCCCACAAGGCGGCTCGGTATTCATATGATGAGGTCGTTACTCGAGCATGTTATATATGTAAAGATTGGCATTTCCCACACCATAGTAGACGACCCTACACGTGCCAGCTTTGACCAGAGGAATGATGGTGGACTGGCGCCAGCAATCGGGGAT